AAAATACGAATCAAGCACTTCTGAGTGAATGTTAAAAGAATATTAATCACAGTAAAATGATGTTGATCGAGTTAGGATGGGGTAAAGAGCCGTAAGCACGGTGGGGGAAGACAGAGGACATGCTTGTATGGCCATGGATGCGCAGCACAGGAACTAAAAGTCATGTGAGTTTAACTGACTTTAATGTGTTGAGGACACATAAGCTCTAATTCATCCATTCAACAGTTAAGAGTATTTAGAAATACCGCCTAATGGACAAGATAAACTTTAGTAATAGAAAATATAAGAAGGTTGACTACAAAAAATCATTCAATTTTAACTTCAACACCAGCAGCTACTTAAGATGAAGCTCTACATACATGGAAGTCCTAAGATAGCAAGAGGTATCTGTATAAACCTCAAAGTCAACACTCGCACCTTGTTTTTTTCCTCTTATGAGTTCATTTACTGCAAAAGAAAATGAGGATATATCCACCATACAAACCTCTCATGTCAAAAAAGTTCAACTCATGCAAAGAATATTCTTTCCCAAAAATTGAAATGATTAAGGAATGTATATCAATCAAGAAAATCAATGTGAAATCATCAGAAGTCACTCCCATAAGAACTATATTTCCAGTTTTTCAGCTCTTCTGCTACTAAAGATATTGAAGTTTGAACTGAGACCAAAAAATGATGGGTTAGTCAGAAAAAGAATCAGTAAGAGTCAGCTTTCATCACTTTGACGGGTGCAGGAATTTCATTGCACTAGTCTACTGTCTTCCTTTTTTAAAATCCATATCTCACCTTTTTTGATTGTCATGTAAGGAAGAGTGAGATATGCAGTAATAAAATCCATGTTCTGCAACCAAATTTTCAGGACTTTCAACTCCTGAACTTTCATCAATTCACCAGACCGATATATCTTAATCGATTTCACTCAGAAAAACTATTTCACTGCAAAAAATCTTTGAGGAAAAATATTTCACACCAATTCTTGGAGCTATCTGACTTGTAAGCAGTTCTCAACCACGGTTTAGGGCAACATTCCAACCAAGCTGCATCAGGATACAATTGCTTCAACTGAACTTTCTCTGTCACCAAGGGCATGAAAACTTCCAACAAACCAACCTTGTGGTCCAGCTTTTGCCTTCCTCTTATAGGAATCTGATAGTGTAAAGCTTACCCCAAACTATTTCACTCTCCTTTCATTTTCCTTGATCCTCAAATCATGGAGATATAACCTACTATTTTACGCCAGTATACCTATGTATCCACTTTGCCTCCACCAAACCATAACCAATCAAGCTCAATCTCTATCCCTAAGCAAGCAGAGGAAAAGTACATAATCGTGCCCTCCAACCAGTTTGAGCTATTATCCTGATCTACAAAATCTAGTTCGAAATCAGAAATAAATAATCAATGCAGGGCTGAATGAAAAAATTTCCTTGACATTACTTACTAGAATTTGGCAATTCAAATGGAGAGAATAGTAACTCAATTTTTAGATATTCCTTGTTTACAATTCTATAGTTCTTTATCATCTTTTCCATCTCCAAAAAATTCATTTCAATTGCGGTTTCTGAAAAGTATACAAGCAGTCCTATTTACCCACAACATTAGGGCTAAGTTCGGATACTGAACCTAAGTTTGGAAAAAGAAAATTGAAGGTAAAGGCATATATTTTAACTTCGCACATTAATTTATCTCACTAAAATCTAGGATTCAAAAAGGAGAGCCCAGAAGTTGCAAAATTCTAAGCAGTGCAAGTTTATGTGCAAGATCAACAGAAGGAGAAATTTTTATGAGTTAACTATTAAGGAAAAAAAATCCTAATTTATGTGATTTGCACAGCAATTATGATGGCACTAAGTGTTGATAACACGAATGGAAGAATAATAACAGCTAAAAATAATAGCAAAATAGAACTAGACAAAGTACGCAGTTGACAATTTTGCCTATGTTAACAAAGCAAAATATTGTAATGTTTCACTATTAAAAAAATGGAAATCACAAAAACAATCGATCACACAAGCTCAAACTCTTCATCACTAATTTTCTGAAGAACAAAAACTATTTCAAGCCTCACTTTCACTCTTTTTGGCGGAGTATCACTTTTCATTGTGTTGGTGTTTTTCAACAAGCGAAACTGCACACATATATATAGCGTGAGAAACTTGCGGCCCAATTTTGGTCATGGGGGAGTTGCAATTTTAGGAGGTGCCAAAGTTGTAATATGCAACTTGTTATGAATCACATTTTTCGAACAAATCTTCACCTTGGCGACTAATTGAGCCAATACTTTCCCCTCGATTTCATAAAGAATGCTAATACTACGAGAATGAATAAACCTGTGCAATGCTTGAAATTCTCAGTAGGCACTCGCCTGGTTAGCACATCGGTTGCATTCTCCTTTGTGTGCTATGATCACAATATGTTGGAACATGTAGCTATTAGTAAGCCACATAACAAAACTTAGGGAACAAGATTTTTGCCCCTATTGCTCATAAGGATTTAGGGACCAAGTTTCTTGCGCTTATAATACACGTGTTTCCATTTGATGAAAACAAGTCAACAAACACAAAACAGAAAAACAGATGCAGGTCAAGTGAATGTTGTGGTAGTAAAGCCATTTTTTGGTGTTCACACTATGCAGTTGCATTTTGGTATTCAAATTTCGTGTGCATAGTTTGAACACCAAATTGCAGCTACGTGGTGCAAACACTAAAAAGTGGTTTTACCGCTACATGTCTACCCCTTACAGTCATTTTTATAGTAACTTTTTTATTCTCTCCACACTTTCCATTTCAATGCCGCTTACGTTTTCACTAGGCCAATAGAGGATCTAACCCATATGAACTTGTCATTATTGATTGGCTTTGTAAACATATCTACTAGGTTGTTTCCAGTATGGATTTTTTTATATCGACACTCCTTTTTTCCATCTTCTCACATACAAAATGATATTGAACTTGAATGTGTTTTGTCTTCGATTGAAATGATAAATTCTTTGCTAAGTGCAAAGCGCTCTGACTATTCCAAAATAGGGTAATCTAGTTGCAAACATTAATGAAAGAGCTCGAGCACAAACAAGAGAAGCTTGCACACCAAGTTCTACTACTATATATATGGTATAGAATCATTTACTTGTGGTATCTCATTCTTGTGAGAAAAATAAAGAGAGAGGGAGAGAGTTTAAGAGAGATAAAAAATGCTTGTAGTTTTTCCTTTGTTTAAAAGTGTGTTTTCTCCTATTATAAGAGCATGTTTGACATGGATTTTGAGAAGCCAAAATGAGCTTTTAAGATCCAAAAGCAGCTTTCTATTTGACTAATTTTACATAAGTGCTTCTTCTAGTAATAGAAAGCTAGTTCGATGAAACTTCCTCTAAAAGCACCTTCGGAATAGGAAGATTTTTTCAAAATTAGTTTTCAAATAAAAATTAAGACAACTTCCTCCGGAAGCTTTCTAATGGAAGCAGAAGCAAAAGCGAAAGACATGTCAACCAGGCCCTAAGAGAGGATTTATTATTATTGTGATCTCCTTATAGTAAAGAGAAGTTGTAATCCTTTTGTTATAGTCTACAATTTGCACGAGACTTTTTTTTTTCTTTCAATTTTCTCATTTCTAATTTAGTTGTATTTTTTGTGCTTCATACCACAACTTTCTTACAGAATTGAAGAGTGAGGAAAAACATTTTCTAGTGCAAGTGAGCTTTTGTTTTGTTGAGTCTAGTTGTAATATCCATTTTTTTCGAATAGTGAAATGCTAGAATCTTCCCCCACATAGGCAAAATTGCCAAAACACATATATCTGGTGCATTCCAATTATGCTATTATTTTTTCATGATATTCTTTTATCCATGTCATCACACTTACTGCCATCATAATCACTACATATTAGAATTATACGCTAATAATTACTCATATATGGCATTTGTTTGGGTTCCATTTTTTTAACTTAATTATTAATTCATTTATTTAAGACCATGAACATTGATAATCGAAGATTGTGGCCAAAAAATTAAATAGGTCAGAGGCCCTAACGATTCCTAAATTGTTAAATGGAATTGGTCAAAGTAGAATGACAAAACTACCCCAATAATAAATAATCATGGTTCAAGTTTGTGTGAATTTTGAGGGGCAAAATTCGTACTAGGTAAATTACAAATGTCACCGTTGTGAGCCATGTGGAAATGTGCAGTAGAGATGGAGTTATACATTTGTATAACAAAGTTCATGGGTCCCAAATTAAGTGAACTATAACTTAAGTTCAAAAAATGAAACCCAAATATTACAAATATCCGAAATTTCATGATAGCTCGAGGTCTAATCTAACACAATAATCTCCCAGTTAAATTTATGACAGATTCCAAAACTAACTTGAAACATTGATTAAGCAGAAACCTAAAAAAATAATAATAATAATAATAAAGAAGTTCTAAGAGGGCACCTCATCTCCGGCCTAATCTATCACAATAATCTCCCAGTTAAATTTATGACAGATTCCAAAACTAACTTGAAACATTGATTAAGCAGGAAAAAAAAAGGAGTTCTAAGAGGGCACCTCATCTCCAGCCTTCAAATTCGAGAGGCCCCAAGAGTAAGCCACTAAGTTGATCGCCTCAGTGGCATTTCTTGTAAACACAATCTCTCCAGACGACGCATTGATGAAATTCGCCACCTTATGTCTTGCTAATTCATATTCATCCGTTGCCTTCGCACTGCAACCCAAAAAAATTAAAAGTTTAAAGGAAATGATTAAGAAGATGTTTGGCCTAGGCTACAAAAGCACAACCAAAATATCCTTATATTCTTCAAAATTACCTTAAATAGTGAATTCCGCGATGAACATTGGAATTCCAAGCTTCGTAATACTTCTGTAATGCCAACAAAACCGCAGTGGGCTTCTGGGAGGTTGCGGCATTATCCAAATACACAAGCTTTTTTCCATTCACCTCCTGCGACAAATTGCAAAACCCCCCTCAATTAACACATCAAAAAAATTCACATACTGAACCAAAATTGAGTAAACAAATCCGGAAAGTGCCTGGTGGAGAATGGGAAAATCGGGTCGGGTGAGGTGACCGAGAGAGCCAGGACCGAGAATCGGGTTGGGTGAGGCGACCGTAACAGAAGCAGAAGCTGAAGGTACGGTGCAGAAGGCACGGTTAGCGCGTTTGGGGTTTGGCTTAATGATTCGGAAAGAATAAGGAAGTTTGAGAACACCTTCCATCGTATTCATCATCCGTCACTCCAGTCTAAGGATTGCAACATAATATATGTAAACGAGCGTATAACTAAGCATTATCCTTCTATTGTACTTTTTTCCTTTTTAAGGACCGAATTATTTTATATAAATTTACATGTAACCAAGAAAAGTAGATTTTACCGCGAGTAACTTTTTACTGATAAAATTAGAATTAAATAAGTTACTTATTTGACAGTTACTTTTTTGCTTGTCAGCTCTTTCGTTCTCTGTTTTAGGCATCTTTTGTGTTCATCCAATGGCCGATTTCCAGTGCGTTTTTTGAAGGGATTTGAGAAATCATACAATTTTTTTCTTCTTTTTAAAAAGGTTGAATCCCAACCTTGAGAGCTCCCACCGCCCCATCCCTAAAACTTTGTGAAGGAGTTAAATCGCAGAATATGCCCTCAACAAATCAGGAAATAAGAACTGCTTGTATACTGCGCCTACAAGAAGTCAAATTCCATATTTCAATAATTAAACCCCCACACTGCAGCTGCCAGCAAAGCTTGAGATAACCTCACTCTTATCCTTTGCATCACTAGGCTATACCCCGGAGGGCAATTTTTTTTTATTATTATTTAAACTAATACTATAAGAAGTGTATAAGAAGATTTATCCTTTTATACTTCATTTTGAATCATATTAATAATAATACCAAAAGAATTATGCTATCTAGTATCAGTGGTACTAAAACACCGATCTATATGGTATTATGTGATAAGTTCAATTAAAGATAAAATTATGTGATATATTTAATTAAACATGCAACTTAATGTCACTAATACTGTCACCTAAACTAGTGTTAAACATCAATAATGCTAAATATCACTGTTCATCATGTCAAAAAGAGGATAACAAACCAACAAATTATTGCATTTTTTTTTTTAAAGGACGAAATCTTATTCAATTCCAAACATAAAGTATACAGACCAAATTGCCAAATGTCAAGGATAAAAATGTAAATTGTGGCCACTCGTTCATCCAAGAAATACAATACAATGTAAAAACATGGCTATTCATTAGTCCAACGAATTAATCAGGTCCTTAAAATTGAACACCAACCAATCAGCTTTAGCTGCAACACCCTCTCGGAGTTGAACTCCCCCGTAGCATATAAACAAGTCAGAACCACCCGGCTGACGAGCCTATAAAAAGAAAACAAGAACAAAGTTTATGTAACATAGTAAAACAATGAAAATAACACTAGCCAGGGGCAAACTGACAAAAAAAGCTGAATGTTTCTCTCACCTCAAGATCAGTTGCACCATCTCCAATCATGACCATATACTTGTATCCTTGAGCCTGGAGAAATGAAGGAACAAGCAAAAGTTCACATCTTATGGAGTAAGGATGAAATAAGCCCACAATTTACTTGCCTTCCTTATCAGTTGAACTGCAGTTGCTTTCCCTCCGCTTCTTGAGGTTGGCTCCTTAGTATCGAATCCCAAGAACTCTCCAGAGCTTCCAAATAGAAGTTGATTGGCATATATGTTTTCAAGTGGTATACCAAGGATTGATGCCACAGGCTTCAAAGAAATATATAAAACTATAAGCTCCAAGTATAAACTGTCTCCTCCAACTAACAGACATCCTTTCAGGCATGACTAAAAAATTAATATAAGTATAGTTTTAGAAAGTTCTTTAGTGCATAATACTAGATCATTGTTTGCAAATTCCACAACACTATTAGTGTTTGGTTAAGCTTAAGATAAAAAAGTAAAAGTCACTTTTTAATGAAAGATCCAGTATTATACTATTATACATCAAACACTTTTTAGTCAACGATCTAGAAAGTGAGATGCAGCAATAACAATTGGATGAAGAGAAACAATTCCTGCAAAAGACTTATCGAAGAAAAATGCTATACATGTTGCAAGGGATAGAATCTTACAAAAAGGATTCTAAATACATTGCTGAATGACATTATATGCCCACAAATTTCTTAAAATTTCCAAACCAATATGAACAAGATATTGCAGAGTAGAAGAAATGTAAAAAGAAAAAATTGCTAATATGATTTTCCAGAGCAAAAAACAGACAATTGATTTCAATTTAATCACCAATTCAAAGTGAAGCTAAGTACATTTATCATTTGACGAAAGCCTCCGGAGATCAGATACACATCCGTACTCTTGTCCTTCAGCTTCTTAACCAACGTATCAATTCCCGGAGAAATTCTACATACCGAAAGAAGATAAGACAACCATGTACACAAAAACAAACTAACTATTACGCATAGGAAAACTTGTGCTTTTACAAATAAACAAGCTATGAGCTTCATTACTTGACTGTCCACTCATTTATATAATAAATTGGTGTTGTAAACCAATCAATTTGGTATTCATTTTGGAGCATGTAACAAATATTCCTTTGTAGGCGGTTTGAGAGCTGCTGCTCAGTCAATTAGTGATGAGATACTAATAATTCTGTGTGATATCAATATCTCTACATGAGATACAGCCAGATATGGTCTCCATATTTCCCTTCTTTCTAATAAAAAAGTTCAATGAGTTGAATATATATCGTCGATTTTCTATATTCGTCACTCAGGTTCTCAATTTCAAATCTATATAATTAAAACGGTTAAAACTCAAAATTTGAGCATTAAACTCATAAGCCCCCCTCCCACCCACCATCTCAACCTTGTCTCCTTTTTAGGAAGTTTCAAAAATAATGTCATTAACCGAAAATAAATAACATATCACCCCCTCTAGTTCTCATTTTCATACAGTGAACGAGGGATGGGGAATGAAGAAGGATTTCAGCACTAAGTGAAATTGTACCATGCACAAAACAGTATTGTTGAAGCAACCTTGCCATAGCATTTCCATTAAAAAGTTTTTTAAATTTCACATTTCTTAATTGTTCACAACTTAATGACTGTTTTTTTTTTCCCCATACCGTCTCAATATTGTCTTCACTCTTCCATGCATTCAATCATACTTCCTTGAAATAAAGGAACACAAAATCCCTCATACATCAGGAATTTTATTGATTATGTGAAGAATATTTTGGCAAATAAGGTGGTCCTCAATATATGCTAATATTTCTATCCAAAATAACCTCATGATGTTCCCTAAACAAAACAAAAATGGCCAAAAAACATGTATTTTTTCTAACCAACAAAGCTTAGTACCTTGGGGGCCTCTTCTCAAGGAAATCTTGCACCTGGGAGAGCGAAGGGTTGAAAAGAGATAATCTGGCAGCCAAAGCTTCCTCAAAAGGAATGGAGCCACTCATTGCCCTAGCAAAGCCAACACACTAATGTCAAATAAAAATTCTTAGTAACGAGAACAACCAGAGAACTGTACTAAACAAAATATCAATAGACCTAGCGGTCCACTCGGCAACTGCCTTTCCAGCTTCACAATAATCAGCAAGTTCATCAATGCCCTCATCCAGGCACACTGTACTGTCCACGTCGAAGCATACAGCATTGGCATTTCTCCATATATCAAGGACCTCTTGCAAAATTAAAGAAACCTCCTATCAGCAAACAAACTAGGTAGAATTCCACCATAATAAATTTTACATCACAGTTACTCCAGAACTAAAACACTAGTATTATAGTTAAACATTAATAGAACTAATCCAAAGTCTATGACATATAAATCCAAAAGCCAATCTAATGTCCTTAGCCTGCATAGTCGTAAAAGCATGATATAATACCCTTATCTTGCATGATTGTAAAAGCACAACATGCAAAAGGGATTCTGAATATATAGATAAATTATAGATGACATTGCATTTTTTTACCTTTGGATGGTAATGTGCTGTCAAAACGTCCCACTGCTGATGCCTCTAGTGGCTGTACTGAAGCAGCTACTGAATTGAATAATTTGGGATTATTCATGACTCTAATTGGACCAACAAACACTCTTTTCGTAACTCTTGGAGTGAATGTGGGAACGAAATTAGAGTTTTGCTTCTTGAAATGAAAAGAAAGCAGTGGATTGATCTTTATCCGAGCACTCATTAACAGCTCCATCGAAATTAAATAAGAGTGAACTTGAAGACTTGCACTAGGCCCAAAAAGTAATCAAAGAGCCTGCAGTTGTCGACTCTGAAAAAAAGTTTTCTGTTTATCGTATTATGATTACAGTCATACTAACACTAACGAGTGGTCAAATATTTCCTCAAAAAGTATAATAAACAATACTAATATAAGGACCAACGGTCAAAGTTAGATTTACATTGAACAGAAATGACAATTTTTACAATGATCTATTAATCACAATTATACAGACGGATATCATTTCTAATTATATGCCACGCAATTATGCGTGGAATGCATTTTTAGTTATAGCAGTGTCTACTAATAACATGAGCATTATGTATATAAGCAAGTAGTGCTCTATAGAATAAAAGTTTGAACAGAAGGTTCCAGTCTATTGTCAGTTTCCAATTCTACCCACAAAAACACACAGTACAATGATAAATTCCTAGCACCTAAAATCAAGCCAACTGGTTAACAAAGATTCACAGGGTGACAAACATATCTCGAGGGTGTCTAACAATCAACACACACAAACATATAATATAGCATCTCTGGCCTTCCTTAAAAGACTAAACAGTTTGCCTTTTTTTTATTTGACCTTTTATGATTGCATGATTGTATATGCTGCCAAAAAAGGCCCAAAAATATCTGCTTGCACATGCTATAAACATACAAGATTGTGAACTCAAATGCTCCATTTAGATCAAAAACCTAAATTTTCTGTTCTGCAAAGTCATATCCCAACTCTAATTTATCTCTAATTAACTTCTAATACATACACACTCCTTGTTCTTAATCATGAGATATATATTTTAGTATATGTATATCCAGGTGGGGGTTTAGTTGGTAGATTGGTATCAAGTCCACCCAAAATCTCCTAAAATGATGAATCTGTGAATCATACCTATCAGAAACACCTAACCTAACTTATGTTCATTATATTAAATTTTTTCTTTTGGTACATTATATGACTTTGAACCTTCTCATCTACTTTTTCTATCTAATGAACCTTATCCCAATTTGAGTGATATAATTGAAATTCGTGAGGTTGAGGCCAAAAACGGTGTTCTGTGACTAAGATTTGACAATCAAGAAGATAATTGAAAAAAAATCTGATCGAGAATATTCAAAGAACGCTGCTGAATTTGAGGGTTCTTCCACAAAGGGCCATTTTTACTCTTCAGTTTTTTGTGAAAATTATCTTATGTTTTTGTCCAAGTTTACAACTTTTTCATCATACCAGATTACCAAGGAATTTAGTATATGATATATTATTCCGCTACAATCACGTTCTTAATTTTAATCACTGAAAAAGGATAACTTTGGATATTCATGGGGCAAAAAATTCGAGGATATTAGCTGGTGAAAGAAATGAGAAAAAAATAAAATAAATAAATAAACAAAAAAATCTCACTAAGTACCTGTTTCGTCTATATTTATATTCCGTTCTGTATAGATCTCTGCCTGCCCCTTTCTCTTGTGAGAGTAAATCTTTGAAAGAGGAATCAGAAACACTGTGCAAATCTCCTCCCACCTACAGCATTACCGTCCGATCTGGTGCTCTTCTACATGAAAAAAACAGCATTGTTTTTATTCAGAAGAGATATACCAAACATTAAAACTTCTCAAATAAATCTTTAATTAAAGAAAGTTTATGAACATGATTAATAAAACTTAACTTATTGGAAACAAAAAATTCTCCAGGAAGAATGGTTTTTTCTCAAATTTGGAAAGTGATTATATACAGTAGTGCGGTGAGGTGTTCACCAACCACGATATCATTATTTTAAATATAAATATATAATTAAAAAATGAGAAAATTACCCAATTGGTCTCTGTTGACACATAAAAATTCAGCCCAAATCGAACAGCCCAGAGAGTAAAGCCCAATTGGAGGACCCCCAAATCAGATAGCCCAAAAAACGAAATCCAATTGAACGAATCAAGGTGAAGGCCCAAATAAGGGGCCCAATAGTGCGGTAACGCCATCGCCCAAGTTTGCAAGTCGCTCAGAGTCTGAACGAATAGAGTGGCATACGGTCGCCCAGAGTCTCGCCCAAATCTTCAAGTCGCCCAAGGTATCAACAAACATAACGCATTATGATTATCAAGAATGCAGTTATTGAGGCAGTTGCTAAAGTAACCTTACCACGTTCCACGACTCAAGGGGTTCAATCGAAAGCGATTGAACGATGCAAGATAATGGCAGCAGTTAAAAGGACAGTTTCATGACAAAATGGCCACTACAAAGAAAGTGGGTAGTTATAGGGCGATCAAGCAATTTTTTAGAGCAGTTAATCACAAAGGAATCGCCTATGAAGTATAAAAGGGAGAAAGAACATAGAAGCAAGGGACCGAATCCAAAACTCTCGAACAGAGAATATGTAACTTTCATTTCTTTAGCTTTTAGATTTAAACACTTCCTTTTCTGTAACTCGTGTGCTTGCGCCCCTTGGAGGCACGTTGTTTTCCGTTTCCAATTGTAAAGTTCATCGCCAATAAAAGGAACACCCCTTTTTGGGACTTTGTCTCAAGAGGTTTCGTCCCTTACACAATCGTCTGATCCTCTTTAATTGTTAGCGAATTAACACGCGCGAAACAATTTGGCACGCCCAGTGGGACAGTGGTGTTAGGAGTTGAAAGTGCAAAAGGTGAAACAATATGCCTCAGAGATCCGACAAGGAAGGAGCAAGTCAGGGAGGAATCCAGTCTGTAATCGAGCGATATGAGGAGCAACATGCCTCTCCACGAACAGATGGACAAAATCAGAGCAGTAACAGTCGTTACGAACCAATGACGGAGCTGAGTCCTCGACCCATGCGTGCATTGCTTGGAGAACTCACGCAATACGTCGTTGAACAGGTAAATCTTCGAAGTATTCATAATATGGAAAGATTTACACAAAGTGGTAATGCACACTATGACAATATGGCCAAACAACTAAAGACGTTGAATGAAACAATGAACAAGTTAGTGGGCCAAATATGTCAACCTGCTATACCTCTTGCAAGTCACTTTCAAACTAGGACGATCGTAGGACATAATCCTTCGGTCCCAAATCCAAGTCAAGGGGGTAGAACCACTTTCTAGCCCCTCTACTTCAAACCAAGGAGGTGCTCATATCCTGATTGGGTAGACCAAGCATATCCATGGCCTAGAGGGTACAAAGTGCCAGAATTCTCACTGTTTACTGGTTTGGGAGAGGTGTCTACCCTGGAACACATAGGGCGATTCACGTTGCAAAGTGGTGATGTAACCGATTACCACAAAATGAGACTTTTCCCTAGTTCGTTAACAGGAGTAGCTTTCTCCTGGTTCATTAACTTGCCAGCGAACTCTGTTCAAACATGGCAACAACTCGAACAGTTGTTTCAAGCTCAGTTTTACAAAACTGAATCTGAAGTCACTTTGGCTGATTTGGCGAATCTACGTCAAATGCCAAATGACTTGGCAGAAAGTTTTCTCCAAAGGTTCAAAACAGCAAGAAGCAAGTGTTTTGTACCTTTGCCCGAAAAAGAATTTGTCAAGATCGCACAAGGCTACTTGAGCTTTGATTTAAAAAAGAAGTTCCAAGACAAGGAATTTCCCGACCTTTTCCAGTTAAGTGCGAATGTCATTAGGTATGAGCGATTGATAAGAGAAGAAGAACAAATAAAAAATTCTAGCAAAGGGACTTATTACAGATGAAAAATTCTAGTAAAGGGACTTATTACAAAGACCCAAATTTTGACGTTCATACCATCGATGACGAATCGTACGATCAGGCCGAAATGTGTTTGGCCGAATTAGTAAAAGGGGATACATATACTTGTCCCATAATGGCCAAGCCTAGACCATCGGGCAAAGATGAGCCCATAAAGGATGGAAGCATAAAGGCTAGAACGTTCTCGTTCGATGTAACCAAAGCTGACCTTATATTCGATAAGTTATATAGGGATAAGCAAATAAAGCTGAGCGATAAGCACAAATTGCCAAACCCTGAACAAATAAAGGGTAAAAAATATTGTAAGTGGCATAATGCATGGTCACATTTGACTAACAATTGCTTGGTTTTTCGTCACGTATTACAGGATGCTATTGAGTCAGGACGAATTACGTTCGAC